CAAAATCCAAATGATGCTCAATCTGGAAACACGTCAAATACTACAAATCTTGATCCCACTCAACCTAACAGCCCATATTTCATTAGAAGCAATGACAATACTGGAGCCCTACTTGTTACTCATACCTTGGATGCTAACAATTATCATTCATGAGCACGATCAATGAAAAGAGCATTGCGAATCAAAAATAAACTGGGATTCATTGATGGAAGCTTAAGTGAACCAGCAAATCCAAACGACCCACTCATGGAACACTGGTTCCGTTGCAACGACATAGTTATAACCTGGATGCCTAACACAATGGCAATAGACATCAAATGCAGCACCACATGCTGAGACGGCACATCAACTATGAACTGAACTGGAGCAACGTTTTGCCCAGCAAAATGCACCTCGAATCTTCGAAATCAAACAAGCCATAACCATGTTACTACAAAACCAAGATCCTGTAAGCATTTATTTCTCCAAATTCAAGACACTTATAGATGAAATCATGAACTATGAAGCTGTGCCTAATTGTGATTGTGGGGGTTTAAGGATAGTTATTCAAAACCAACAAAGGGATCTGGTAATGAAATTTTTTATGGGCTTAAATAATTCTTATAAGGAAAGTAAGGCACAAATCCTGTTGATTAAACCATTTCCCAACTTGAATGAAGTATACTCAATAATACAGTAGGAAGAAAAAAGATGGGAGATATCAACTGAAGGATCCTTACATGAATCCATGGCTCTTTTGGCAAGGGAAAATTTCAAAGAAAAGGGAAGACAAAATACTTATGCACATAAGAAAGACAGATATTACTGCACATTTTGTAATTGCAGGACACTCAATTGATAGATGCTTCAAGGCAAACCCAGACAAACCATTTTGTACCCACTGTCAGATTCCAGGTCATCAAATGCTTCAAACTCCGTGGCTATCCCCCAGGTCACAAACTCAGTGGAAAAGAGAAGGCATCAGTAAGCAGCTGCATTTTTATCTCCTGCACAAGAGGCTGGAAACAGCAAATCTCAAGTGTTCTTAAGTCAAGAACAAATTTCACAGCTCATGGCTCTTCTAAAACCTGTCACTAACCCTCAGAACAAAAATCCCTCAGCCAATAATGCTCAAAGTGTCATTAGCACCACCTCCACAGATGAGAATATAAACTAACTATCTGGTATGTCTATGTATGTCTGTTATAAAACCAAAGTATCCTGATAAGTTAGATGTCCCTTGGATACTCGAAACAGGAGCAACAGATCATGTGGTCTACTCCACTTCATTCTACTCATCAATTCGCGCTGAGGTTGCATATTCCATAGCTCTTCCAAATGGTAATGTGGTCCCTGTGACTCATATAGGAAGTGTAAAGGTCACAGATGCTTAGATACTTCAAGATGTTCTTTGTGCACCTAGCTTTTCATTCAATCTCATTTCTGCTAAGAAACTAACACAAATGCTCAAATGTTGTCTAATTTTCTTTTCTCGTTGCTATTACATCTAGGACCTTTCAGCTTGAAAGACGATCGGCATGGGTGAATTAAAGGAAGGGCTATATCACATGATCACCAAAGATGTTCCCTCTCCAGCACTATCAGATTACTTGAACAAATTGCATACTCAGACCCAAATTCCTGTCTTTGCTTCAGCCACCTCTAATATTCAAGATTTTGATGTTTGGCATTACAGATTAGGACATACCTCTTACTTTATTCTTAGTGTTGATGGTGATGTTCGATTCTCAAAATCATTTAATAATAAATTTTGTTCTATATGCCCCCTTTGTCTAAATTGCACAAATTACCCTTTCACACAAGCACCCACAAAACTCGCAAATGTTTCGAATTATTATATTGAGACATCTGGGTCCCTGCAGTGAGATTGGTAGTGATGGTTCCAAGTATTTCTTAACCATTGTCGATGATTTTAGTAGATGCGCGTGGGCCTATTCCTTAAGACTAAAATCAGATGCTACCAATGCCCTCCATAACTTATGTGCTATGGTTGAAACACGGTTTGAAACCAAAGTTAAGATTATTAGAATGGATAATGATGGAGAATTCAATATGAGAGAATTTTATCTCCAAAAGGGCATTATGCATCAAAGAACCTGTGTTGAGACACCTCAACAAAATGCTGTCGTAGAAAGGAAGCATCAACACATCCTTAATACGGCCAGGGCCTTAAAGTTTCAAAGTGGAATCCCATTAAAGTATTGGAACCATTGCATCCTAACTGCAATGTATCTCATCAATAGAAACCCTTCATCCACGTTGAGGGATAAAAGTCCTTACCAAATTTTATTCCACAAAAGGCCATCTTACAATCACCTCAAAGTCTTTGGCTGCCACTACCATCGTCAATGGGAGACAAATTTTATCCTAGAGCCCAAAAATGTGTGTTCATAGGCGCTATCATTTTGGAGTCAAAGGATATACCTTGCTGGATCTTGAGACTAAAATAATCTTCATATCTAGGAACGTAGTTTTTTTATGAAAACCTTTTTCCCTATAAGGATGATTCTGTAAGATCAAATCATAACAACATCAGTTTTATCCAAGATCCTATAGCTTACAAAGAAACAGTCGATGCAACTTCAAACACCAGTCATAATAATGTAATGCCAGAAACAGGCTCTCAAACCATCCAACCTGAGAAAGAACTTTCACAAAAATCTAATCATGATGAGCCCCAAATTAACACTGACACTGATGCTTTCAGTCCCTCACCAAGCACAACTTCTACAACCCATTTGCCCCGCATATCAATCCGAATCAGAAAAGCACCAACACATCTTCAGGACTTCATATGCCACCAGGCCACTTCACTTCACCCATCTCAAGCGTTGGACAAGCTAAAGGCACAGGATCTCTCCAGTTGTCAGTACCCTCTCAATGCTAGTATTTCCTATAAATGGTTATCCGATGCACATAAAGTCATTGTTGCTCTTATCACTTCCCAAATTGAACCTAGGAACTACAAAGAAGCCAAAATTCTCCTCAGTGGTGTGCAACCATGAAAAGTGTGATTCACTTCACCCATGGTTTGCTAACACGAAGCAAT